ACCCACACCCACACCCATACCCACACCCACACCCACACCCACACACACCCACACCCACACCCACCCTCTAATATTTAAGATAGCCTCCAATAGAACATCGAGTATGATCCAAATTTATGAGGCATTCGTTGAGTTTAAATTTTTGGTTCATTTGGATTTTTCATAGTAAAGTTAGCCTTGATCGACTTCTAGCACCGTCTCAGAGCTGTTCAAGTCAGGTGTTTTTCAGGTCACAAGCCAAGTTAAGTCAATGAAAAGATTTCCCAAGTCAAGTCAAGTCAGACTTGACTTGAACTTGAAGCGTTGTTGACTTGACCAGCTCTAACAAATAGAAATCACGAAAGATGCCTACTTAAAACTATCTCCTACCACTTTTCTTCATTAAAAATTCGAAAAAAATGTCCTCTTTAGATGAATGACGTGATGGGAATTAGAAACTAGTCAGACGATCAGAAAAACTTTTTTCATGTCAGGTAAAGTCAGAAAGTCGAAAAAACTTTTCAAGTCAAAGCAAGGGTGTAACGACAAACTGGATTGAGTAGCTTGCCGCCACCCTCAGTAATGATGTTTATTGAGCTACTTCACATCTCCAGAATGTAACTACTTCATATACAACACACGCTAATATAAGAGAGAGAAGAGAGAGAGAGAGATGAACACAGGAAAGAACAATAGAGAGAGACAGAGAGGAAAGAGGAAAGGACGATCAGTGGGAGATGATATCAATATCGGCACATCCTCCCACTCAGATTAGACGCGCTCCTGAGCGTCTGTCCAATATAGAAAAAAAAACCCGGAAAGGAAAAAGTGACACACAGGAAAGAACACAAAAAAGAATAGAACCCATCAAGCAAGTCCATATTCAAACTTTGTCCAACAATAAATAAAGGATACGAACGACATTTAACAATAATATTTGTAACACTCATTTCATTTACATCTTTTCACACTCGCATACAAGATCACTTAACGATTTACATATCATCCAAAAAACTCATGCAACGACATAGCAAAAACAATAGCATGCGATACACGAAATATTCAGAACGACTCATCTTCACATTTTAAAAGGCTTAACTCAAGCATTTCATAAAAAAAAGGGTGTGGGTGTTATTTCTATCTACATCAACACCCACACCCCCACCCCCACCCATACCCACTCACACCCCACACCCACATCTACACTCGCACCCCACACCCATACCTACACTCGCACCCCACACCCACACCGGCACCCTCTTGTAGTTGTCACTTAGAAGCACTTCGATTGCGATCGTGTTCGGTTGAATCTTAGGATCTAGCTTGAAAATTTGTGGAATACTGCGCATTCTATTCATCGTTGATCTTCAGAATCGCAGTTCGAGTGATGAAGTCCTTGACAGCCGTATAAAGTGTATTGCTCGATACGATTAGTCTTGCAGATCATTTCTTACTATAGTTTGTTGATAATATCATGCACTGGACCATTCAAATAATAAAAGGTTTTAGACTGATAACTGCCTTTTATCGTAATTGGAAAGTAAAACTTGTTGCTCGTCTGTACTTCTCATTATCTAACTGAAAAGTTTGGTAAGAAATTCTCGATGAGCATATGTAGTTTTGTACAGCGTCAAAAGGCGAATCTTTTAACTATCGAGATCAAGTGAAAACGGATGAGATTTGGCCCAGCTATTGTCAAAATACGGACGGTATCATTAGTTATGCCGCACCCGTTATATATGGATACTAAAAATGGATGAAAACATAAAGCTACAAAAAATCAAAGAAATTACGTACGTGAACACAGTTTGTGTTCATATCATGTAAAACAGCAAGATGGTTATCACATACAATAGGTGATAAAGAAGGAATGCAGAGACAATTATCATAGCTTGAACGCCGGGAATATTTGCGAGAAATTAATCTTTACTTTCACATTGATTCGAATTTTGCGAAATTCTACATGTTATTACTGTAATTGTATAACTCTGTCACTTCACATATAAACACATGTCAGAAATGTTCTTTTTTATTTCTGTGTCAGCAGTTTATTATTTAAAATATGTCTCTTTCGTGGCTACTGACAGACAAAAAACAGATCGCAGGAAGTGCTAGGAGACCATCAAAAATAAATATATATTGATATGAATAATTACAAAAGTTATGCATAGCTTGTATATGTATGATCAATGACAATGAACAAAAAAGTTTTTTAACTGTTGATTTCTGTCGAAAGTGTGTCTTGCTGTTATTGGTTGGCACTGAAACGCATATCCGGCGTTCCATCTGCTTTGAGAGGACCACCACTGCTTTCCGCACTATCCATCATCCCTGGAAAAAAAATCAGGAGATGAAATTAGCATTAAAAATGAGTCGTCTGACTACTGCTTTACCTGACGAAGACTCAGCAATTCCACCTGATGAACATTCGTTACTGTCGGCAAGTACTTCACCACTAGTAATCTCTCCAGATGCAACAGCATTTTGACTTGCAGTATAGCGCATATCAGCAGTGCCGTCAGATTTTGTCGGAATATCAGTTAATGTAGATCCTCCTACGAAAAATTAAGCAATGATTTGTTGACCCTTTGCATGACATGTTCACTAACCTGAAAAATCTTCATTTTCACCAGTTGGCATTGTGTCACTCCCTTCTGTTAGCTTTTCATCAGGTTCGATGTCACCCGAAGCAACAGCTTCTTTACTTACTCTATATCGCATATCAGCTGTTCCATCACTTTTTGTTGGTATAGTTGTATTAATCTCGTTAGATTGTTCTTGTGCTGTTTGATTTGTGCTTAATTGATGTTCATCTGCAGATGAAGCATTGACTTCTAAAAGTCAAGAAAACCGTTTATCTTACAATGGAACCTTTTGTATTGATCATCAAGAAGATTGGCTATGTTCG